TAACTAAATAACAGTACTTTTTTTTTTGTCTTTTTTGAACCAGGGTCTCTGTAGCTACAGCTGGCCTGGAACTCACTTTGTAGACCTGATCTCACAGAAATCCACCTGCCTCTGCCTCCTGAGTGCTGGCATTAAAGGTGTGGGCCTTCATACCTGACTTAATAGCAATACTTTTTTTAGTATATTTTTGTGCAGTGTCTTTAGACAATAAATCAAAGCCAGAGTGGTGACACAAGCCTTTAATCCCAGCATTCAGGAGGCAGAATCCTAGCACTCAGAAGGCAGAGGTAGTCAGATCTCTATGAGTTGGAGGCCAGCCTGGTCTACATAGTAAGTACCAGGCCAGCCAGGGCTACAGGCTACATAGTGAGACCATAGTGCAGCCATGAATGGTGAAGCTGGGATTTGCATGGTAGGTCCATTCTGTTTCACAGCCCGTCTTCCTAATGCCGTTGAGCGACTGGTGTGGTCCCTCTGATGATGTCACACTACCAGGCATCTCTACACATGGCTCTGTTTGCTACCAGGATGGTTGTTCCTTCCATCCTCCTCCTAGTTCCCTGCTCCCACTGTCATTTGTGGAGTTTCTGGAGGGTCTTTGATATGGCGTGCCTCTGCTTTCACCAGTCCATACTTAGAAACAATGTGTTTTCTGAATTAGAGTGGGGCAAGTCACAGTTTTTACTAATGGCTGGTCATGTGTCTCTGAGCAGTCTTACAGTCCCTGCATCTCTGAAGTGGTAAGGCAGGCAAGCTGTGTGACCTCCGGGTCCCCTTCTGGGTCAGCTTTCTGTTCTTAGGGTTAGGCGTTAGCAAAGATGGAATTGTGGCTCTGGGACTCTGAAATACAGGAAGAGCATTCTCAAATAGCTCTGCTGTTTTCACTTCTGGCCCAACAGCACTCTCCGTAGCAGTCATCTTTAGAATCTTTCTGATAGTCCAGCTTGTGTTCTGCTTGATAGCAATAGATGACAAATGTGGTCATGTTTTTCTGAGTTCCTTGAATTTGGAAGAGTTCCACTTTCAGACTGGTTTCCTTGGTCACTTTCTATGAATTTTCTACCTCTGACTCTCTGGCAAACCTTCCCTATAGTCTTTATTTTCTGTTTACCATTTGAAACGGCCCCTGATCCAGACCAGCTACCTCAGAAACTCCCAGGGGTGGGTGGGAGGCACTGATGCTTGTTAAGGAGCCTCCCCTTGTGAGTATGCCGTTCCTCAGGATTTTGAACCCTGCTGAGGTCAAAGCAGGTCCATGTTCTTCTGTGTTTGCTGTGGTTACCGTGGGTCCTCAGCACAGAGGTACTAGCAGCGCTGTTCTCCCCGGTAAGGAGACTGGCCATGTGCTTTGTCCATTTTCAGTTTTTAATGACAATTTGATGTGCAGCCCATTTTTTGTACTATGTCATTTACCATAGACCTTTAGATCAATCTGATTCATATTATAATTTAATATCACTTACAGTTAAAGCACAGTGCAGAGAGGGCAACATTTATTTCTAAAAGGAAATCAAATTGTAGTGTGGTATGTTTAGCAAATAAAGAAAGAATACATATGCTTATAGAAAGATTTCAGTGTGTGTATCTGTAGGGCATTTTTTTAAAGTTTTTGTGTCTGTGTATGTAAGGGTAGTGTATGCATGTGGTGTTTATACATGTGTGTGCAGAGGCCAGAGGAGGATATAGTGTGTCTTGCTGAGGCAGGGTCTCGCATTGAATGTGGAGCTAGACTGGTGGCCATAAAGCCCCAGTGTGTCATCCCCCCCCGCCGTGGAGCTAGAATTGCAGGCTTGTGTGGCCATGCCTGGCTTTTTACCTGAGTGCTGGTAATTTGAGTTGATGAGGATAATTGTGCAGCAGATGCTCTTCCCAGTGAACCATCTTCCCAGCCTAGTATCTACATAGGTTTTGATTGTACATTAAGCCATCCATGGATGGGAAATACTTAAAATAAATTATATCTGTACTGAACATGGATAGGCTTTTGTGTTTGTCATTATAATCTAAACAGTAGTATAATAAATATTTGTGTAATGTTTACACTGTATTTTATAAGTAGTCTAGAAATTATTAAATGTTACGGTTTTATGTAGATACCATTTTTTTTACTTTTTGGCATATGTGTTCACGTGGTGTATATATGCATGTATGTGGGTATGCATGCACATATGTGCATGTGTGTGCATGCATACGTGTGTGTGTGTGTGTGCATGCATGCATGCGGAGGCCTGTTCTAGGCTGCTGTCAGGTGCTTTCTTGGCTTATGTCAGCTGTCATCTCTGATCTCTTTTCACTTTACATAGAGACAGGACTTGATGATTTGGCTAGTCTAGGCAGGCAGCTCGTCCTGAGGGTCCTCTGTGTCTGCCTCCTGAGCACTGGAGTCCAGGCAGGCTGCCACAGCTGCCTGATGTTTACTTGTGTTCTAAGGCTCAAAACTGCTCAAAACTCTCTCATATAGGAGGCACTTTACTGGCCAATCCATTTTCCCAGTCCATACATTTTACATAAGGGCCTTGGGCATCTGTGGATTTTGGCATCTGTGTATGACGGGGAGGTGCTCGAACCCTTCCCTGTGGATATGGAGAACAGCTCTGTATGTTGAAGTAGTCATTAAAGATGATGGGATTAAATATAGCTTTTCTTTTGTGTTTACATGTACATTATGTTTCTATAATAAATTCACTTTTATGAAGAAGATAATGCCTTAGACAAAATAGGGGTGTGCAGATTTGTGTTATTTTTAGCTTTTGGCTCCAATATACTGCTGATATATTGAGATGAGTACCACCAAGAGCGTGCTAATACAGGCCTGGTAAACACAACCTAGGGTTTGTAGCCCTGTTATTTTTGTTTTTGCTTATTATAGCCAAGCTCAGCTTGTGTCAGCAGATGGTGTTTTGATGGAACAAGTGTCATGAGACCATGAGTCCATGTCACAAGGGGAAAAGTTAGTGATGACATGGTAGTTTAATGTCTTGATTTTAGTGTCAATCGATCAATTTCAGTGATAATATCTAATCAGTGGTGTTTTCTGAAAAATGATGGGGCATGGAAGAGAGTATCAGTCTAAATATCTGATCATGTTTTGCGTCAGTTTATTACTACATTTTAATGGTTTTGGTGTACATTTAAATTTTATTGTATTTATTTTTTAAAAATACTTAATTTGTTATTTTTATTTTATGTGTATGAGTATATTGCTTGCATGTGTGTAAGTGCACCTGTGTCATGCAGTGCCCGCAGAGGGTGTCAGATCCCCTGACACTGGAGTTACATATAGTTGTTAGCTACCATGTGGGTGCTGGGAATCGAACCTGGGTTCTCTGCAAGAGCAGTCGGTGCTTTTATCTGCTGAGCATCTCTCCAGCCCCTATCTATTTATTTATTTTTGGATACAGTGTTTCCTGTAGCCTGGGCTGGTCTTATGTTTACTAGTAGCCAAGAATGACCCCCTCTGCCCCCCCAACTGCTGGAATTATAGGCCTTCATCAACATACCAGGCTAAAATTTCACTTTAAGACACAATTAGAGTGAGTGATTCAAACCAAAGCCTGACAGTGGTTGTCTTGAGTCATAGTTGGCAAGTAAAAAAAGCACTCCACCACTTCAGATGATGAGTTTCTGCTCCCAAGTTCTGAGAAGGTGGGCAAACCTTTACCCAAATAACGGGAAAGTGTGTGATGGTGTTTCCATAAGATGGCTTCTTAGAAAATGCTGTTTTCCTAACTTCTTGAGGAAATCTGGCCATGAGTGTGTAGTTATTACATTGTTGTTCACAGAATGAGCTAAAGTTGTACCTAACCTTTGTGGTTCCGGGAGCAGCACAGTAATTGGACTTGTGTCCCTATGGCAGATATTCCTAAATAATTTTTGTATTTTTTTGTGTGTACTAGTGTGTGTATGTGTGCTTAGATATGTTTGTGATGTGTGTGTCTGCGTGTATACACATGCAGTTGCATGCATGTAGAGATCACAAGACAGTTTAAAGAGTTGGCACCCTTCCACCTTGTTTGAGGCGATCTCTGTTGTTTGCTGCAAAGCTGCACTGCTTCCACCAGACAGGCTTGCAGGGATCTCCTCTCTGTGTCTCCCATCTTGCCATAGGAGCACTGGGCGTTATAATCACGTGCTGTCAGGCCAAGCTATGCAAGGGTTCTTTGGATTCAAAGTCAAGTCTTCACACTTGCATTGCAAGCATTTTATTTATGGAGTCATCTCTTCAGCCCAGGAGTTATGAGATTTTTTCCCTCTTCTTCGTGTGATGTTTCCGGTTCCTTTCATGTCCTATCTTTTACTGCTTCTCATCGTGCCTAACTCAGCACTTTCTGGGTTCTGGGAAATCAGTGCTGGTTGAAGAGAGAACAATTGAAGGTTCAGATGAACATGCCAGGATCAGGCATGCCTGTGTCTGTGCACATCCTGGGAGCACTTGGAAAGCATAGTTCATTGTGTGGTGGGTGTCTGTCCTCCTATGGATTGACCCAAAGCCTACACATTTTAACTGGGCGTGTTTGAAACTTGATGCAGCATCTGAAAGAAACAGACCCTACAAGCTACATTGGAAGGGTTTTTGCTGCCTTTTGTTGTAGGGTTGAGATTTCTTAGCTGCCTCCTGTTTTCTGTAGATGTTGGTATTTTGGGTATACTCACTCTTGTTCATTACAGATGATCACCAGATGATGAAGTTCAAGTATGGGCATCTTTTCTTTTAGGTTAAGGTACACAGAAGCCCAAGAATAGGATGGCTTGTTTCTCTTGAGAGCTGGCGGGGTTCTCTGCTGGCTGTTGTAGACAGGCCACCTTACCTAGTGTGCCTTCCCATAGGCTCGGTGATGGACATGCTTTCCTGAGTGTTTGCATATGCAAAAATCACTTTTATGTAACAGATGTTAGATTTGTAAGTATATCCTCAGGGTAATCAGAAATGGGGAGAAAAAAATGTAACTTTTATTTCATTGTGATTAGAATTTGGAATCTTTTATTTTTTTTAAATGCAGAATGGACACAGATATCTACCAGATACCTTAGAGAGCAGTTGATCAAAATTTCTGACTTTTACCACATGGCCTCCAGTGCAGGCGATGGTCCTGTCCCTGTGCCACCAGAGGTGGAGCAAGCCATGGAGCAGTGGCAGTACACCGAGAAGCTGGCATTTCACATGTTCCAGGTAATCTGCTCGAGGCATTCAAGACAAGGAAGCACATTCCCCATACAGGGTTGCTGCTAGAGAAATGTGTCACTGGGCGATTTCATCGTAGTGGAAACCTCATAGAGTATGCCCATGTAAATGTAGATAGTATGGTTCCTGGACACTGAGACTATATGGCATGGAATCTACCTGTGGTATAGGTGGTCTTTAGTTGACAAAAACCTGCTCATATTTGACTGCAGTTGTATTTTCTGGGACCTGAGAGATATCTTTATGTGAACTTACGTGTTCACAGATAGCAGCCTCTCTTTTTTTGTGAATGGGTATTTGAGGCAGGGTCTTGATGTGTAGCCCTCACTGTCATTGAATCACTATGTAGACCTGGCTGGCTTTGAACTTGCCATAATGCCCCTGCCTTTGCCTCCCATGTGCTGGGATTATAGGCATGTATCATGCCAGGCGCATTTCGTACAGTGTGTGCCAGGTCTCATGTTTGGCCTAAGATGACAGTCTATTACACATATTCACCTCCAGCTTTCAATGGCATCATGTCTTTTAGTGCCCTTAATTATTTTCTAATTGTGCTATTAAATACAATCCTTTTAGACCCTTTACTTTGCAAATTGGATATATTTATTTAGAAACAACTTTGTGCTGATGCATCCTGTGGCACAACAGGTCTCCTTTGGAATGGAATTATTCCCTGGAAAGGTTGTTTTTATTGGGTTCAGCTGCATTTTGAAATGCAGATTGGAGGAGAGGAGTAAGAGCATTGAGAACCCCTGAATTCTCACCCAGAGAAGCTGCTATAGCTCCTATTGACCACCAGAGGACACTTGTGGTGTCATTTGCCTCAGACTTTATTTTGGGCAAACTGGATTAGCTAAAGGTTTCTTTATTATCATCAGAGACATTCAATATCCACGTATTAATCAAAGAGAAACTGAAGAGTGTTTGGATTTGAAGTGTTCCTGGTGGAACCTTAATTATAATAACCAAATTTTAAAAACAGCTCAAAGCCGTAACTGGATTAGCTAAAGGTTTCTTTATTATCATCAGAGACATTCAATATCCATATATTAATCAAAGAGAAACTGAAGAGTGTTTGGATTTGAAGTGTTCCCGGTGGAACCTTAATTATAATAACCAAATTTTAAAAACAGCTCAAAGGCGGTAATAGAACTTCTGCATTGCCTGCTCTGCACTTTTATGACTTTTACTAAACTGTGTGTTTAGTTTACTTCTTGAAAAAGGTCTTCTCAGCATGTTCAGTAATGTTAGAAAGGTTATATATTAGTAACATTGAAATCAGTCTCTTTTTGTTTTGTTTCTATATTTGGGATTTGCAGTTAAGAGCACTGGTTACTCTTGCAGAGGACCTGGGTTCAGTTCCCAGCACCAACACAGTGGCTAACAACCATCTGTAACTCCAGTTCTAGGGAATCCGATGCCTATTGCCTCTGTGGGTATTGCATAGACATGGTGCACATACATACAGGCAAAACTCTCACACATAAGTGGAAATAAATAAATCAAAAAATTAAGAAAGGTGTCTGAGGAACTCCTATTGCTTTCTAGAAACTTGTGGATGGACAAAAGAGCCACAGAAGCAATGAGGGGGCAGAAAGTCTGTCTTAACAGTTATTTATTTATTTATTTATTTAATGTGTGTGCATGTGCTGGTGCCTGTTCCTGTCTGCATGGATATGTGGAGGCTGGAGGTCAGTGCTGAAGCACTGACCTGTACCTCAGAAGTCATCCACCTGGGGTTTTGAGACAGGGTCTTTCAGTAAAATGTTGGGCTTACAGATAAGGCTATGTGGCTGGCCAGCAATTCCAAGGATCTGCCTGTATCCACCTCCTGTGCTGGTATTGCAGGTGCACATCACCACACCTGGCTTTTAAAAAATGTAGGTGCTGGGGATCAGACTCAGGTCCTCATGGGTACAGCAAACACTTAACTCAGTGAGCTATCTCCACAGCCCCAGGACTTCTTTTTTAAATTATTTATTTATCTTATATTAAACATCTCTTGTACATTAATGCAAATTTATTTTAAATATTTATGTCTTTAATTAGATAAATATATTTTTCTTAATTATGGCATGGCTTTTTTCTGCTTTAATCACAATACAAAACTGTGATGTAGCTTCAAATATATATGCATAGAAAGCCATAAAAATGTGTTTTGTGTATGTGTCTGTGTACATGAAGGCACTTGGCAAAAGGATATTTATGTCAGGACGAGTGGTCTCACTAGAAATACAGCTCAGTGGTAGATAGCTTGTCACCTGCCTCAGTTTAGAATGAGAACAAAAGGCCCTTGTCTAGGGCGACATTTTGGAAATTTGTGGAGATGTTGTTTTTCAGTGTGGTGGTGTAGGGCTATTTATACCTTGTTTTATTATGAAGTCCATCTTTTATATTATAAGTCATCAAATTAATATTCTAATTAATAATCTGAGAGTCATTTTAGGACATGACAGGGCAGAGTCTGGTGGGACTTTTCAGACATTTATTGAGTTGATGATGTGAGCAGACCTTTCCGTCTTTGTAACCCTCACCGTGAGCCTTGTTTCCTCCCCTGAAAATGAGTCCATGTTCCTCATGTTTTGTTGAAGATGTGAGGCCCAGAATGTGAAAACTATCTTTTCTTGTTATTGTTGGAGTTATTTACTGAAATCAATTTAGAATGAAACAGACTACCAGAGAACAAAACCAGAACCCCAGACCACACATATAAAAACCCCTAGAGGTCTTCGTTTTATTGGGAATTTGGACTGTGGTTTGAGACTGTGTGTCATTCTAACAGAAAGAAGTGAAATTACATGTAAGCATAATAGTGTCTTTAAAGACTTAATTGGTTCTTCTAATTGGTTTCTCTTTGTCTATTTAAGGAAGGAATGTTGGAAAAACATGAATATTTGACATGGATCCTGGATGTCTTAGAAAAGATCAGACCAGTGGATGATGATCTTCTTAAACTCTTGTTACCACTGATGCTGCAGGTACAGTGATCTCACCTTGACCCAGTTGGTGTTATGAGCAAGAAATGAATTTGATAAGGATGAGTATGTAAGTAGGCGTAGAAAGGGGAAAAATCCACCCCTTTTGAAATGGAAGAAAAGGTGTTCTGAATGTTGTGATGCGTTTGCCTGTTAGGCTTTTTGTCCACACATAATCTTACCTCACATTGGTCTTCTGCTTTTGTGCTCAGAAGCCTTTAAGTGCTATCTCCTTGTTCACAGATTACTGAGGAATTCAAAGCAGTTTGCTTCTTTTTAAGAATATAGAGAACCAGGGCTGGAGAGATGGCTCAGAGGCTGAGAACACTGACTGTTCTTGTAGAAGATCCAGGTTCAAATCCCAGCACCCGCGTGACAGCTAACAACTATCCGTAACTCCAGTTCTAGGGGATCTGACAGCCTCCTCTGTCCTCCGCAGGCATTGCACTTACCTGCATGCAGGCAATACACGCATACACATAAAATAAAAATAATAAATAAAATATTAAAAAGAATATAGAGAACCGTCCATATGCTTTTGACAGTTGTTGAGTACCTGGTTTAGGAATAATTTGCCAAAGACCTATTAAAATTCAGCTTGTTTGGAGGTGATTTATTTATTATTTTTCTTAGAAAAGTAATACATAGATGTGTTTGATAATTCAGATGACTTGAAGGTGCATCCATATTTGATAATTCAGATGACTTCAAAATGCATCCATGGGCAGTGCTCTCCCTCTATCAGTCATTCCCCCCTCCAGGTCCTGCACACACGGGTCCTGTGTGTCTCCTGGGAGGGTCTGTACTTGCACTGCCTGTTCAAGTAGCTGCTAGCATGATGGGCTTCTGAACACTGAAACGTGAAAATTTATCACCACGAAGTGAGATGTACTGCAGTATAAAATGCACACCAGGTTCCAGACTTTATGGAAAAGGGAATAGATACTTGAAATATGTAAATGTTAATTACGTGTTGAAATAATAACATTTTGAAAACATTGGGTTAAATACAGCATGTTATTCTTTTAATTTTGACTGTTTTTTTTTAAACTGTGTGCGTGTGTGCGTGCGTGTGTGTATGTGTGTGTGTGTGTGTGTGTGTGTCTGCATGAATTTTTGTGCACTGGGTGCTGGGAACCGAACTCTGCCTCTGCAGGAACAGAAAGCATGTGTGTGTGTGTGTGTGTATGTGTGTGTGTGTGTGTGTGTGTGTGTCTGCATGAATTTTTGTGCACTGGGAGCTGGGAACCGAACTCTGCCTCTGCAGGAACAGAAAGCGTTCTTAATCTTTGAGCCATCCCTCCAAACTCTTATTTTCTTGATGGCTACTGGAAAACTTAAGATTCTCTATGTAGCTCACATTATATTCCTACTGGATAACTTTGGTCTGTGTAATACTTTTGAAGTTCATTCCCCCTAACGATGAAAAGTTGAATCGAAATAGTTGTTTCGAAGTGTAAGACATGACTGATGCCTGGTGTCCTACTCCTCAGTATTCAGATGAGTTTGTTCAGTCGGCTTACCTGTCCCGTCGTCTTGCCTACTTTTGTGCCCGGCGTCTTGCGTTGCTGCTGAGCGATAGCCCCAACCTCCTTGCTTCTCACTCGCCCCACATGATGATTGGACCAAACAACGCGAGTATTGGGACCCCCAGCCCTGGCCCCCCTGGCCCTGGCATGAGTCCTGTGCAGCTGGCCTTCTCAGATTACCTTTCTTGTGCACAGCATGGCCCCCTGGTATATGGACTTAGTTGTATGTTACAGGTAAGCCTATGACCCATATTATTTTATGTTAAAACTTGATGTGGGAAAGAATTGGGTTGGGAATAGGACCTTCATCTTTCATACCACACATCTAGTATTCTGACTTGAGTCACTTAGATTGGAATGTTGTGGTTTTTATTACTGTGTTTGTTGAATGAGACTGAGAGATTTGTTGTATCTGTGCAGAAGAAGGTTATTGTGGTTGTTCTTTGTGCGATTGTTCTTGTTTGTTTTTTGTTGCTGTTTCTTTTAGAGATAGAATGCCACTCTGTAGCCTAGCCTAGACTGGAACTCGTAGCAGCCCTCTCTCCTCAGTCTCCTGAGTGCAGGAATTACAGACGAGTGATGCATATATGGTTTTTTGTTTGCCTTTTTAGGTGGGTTAAGCAATTCAATTGCATGTCCTCCAGGGAACCCACAGAGCAAGTCAGCTGTGTGACTGTTCCATTGAGACAGTTCTTGGGGATTAGCAGGCTCAGCTTCCACAGTCCACATATTAAGTTGGTTGCCTCTCTGTTCCTTTAGAGTCAGGCCTTGTTGCCGGGTCTGAAAACACAGCAGTGTGGTGGCTCTGGACTCATTAAATTAGAAAAAAGAGCGGTCTTCCCTAGATCTCCTACTCTAGTGCTCACTTTCTATTCCTTGAGTTCTTAGTGTGTCTTGTTCTCTACTAAGGAGCCCTGGAACTTCCAGAAGGCATGGTCTCCACTCTAGTTGAGTCCATGGTCCTGTTAGGAACTCAGAATTATAATTTCAATGGAATGTGCCAAGTGTTAATGGAAGGATGCTTAGGGGACCTATGGCAATTGAAAGGGAACGTTTAGCTCAATTTGAAAGACTGGGAGGCTTTTTCAGGCAAGGTTTGTAGGTGTTAATGAGTTTCAGTGCTAAGAGATTTCCTGGCAGAGGGACTACCCTAGGTAAAGACTTTAGAGGGATGGTTACTCATCCTGCGTGCAGGTCGGTGTATGTGAGTGGAAAGCCCCTTGGGCCTTACATGGGGATGTCCTTGGAGGTTTGTACGGGGAAGTGACACTGTCAGCTGCACTTCAGTTAGATTATTTTGGGCCCAGTAAGTGAAAGTTCTGTGGGGTAGGACACGGGAGTCGGAGGGACACAAGACCAAGAGAATGTTTGGAAGGATTTGAGTCAGTCAATTTGGAGCTGTTTAAACCTTTTGTGTGCAAGTGTTCACAGTTGAGGAGTCTACTACTAGTGGATTTTCAGAAAAAAAATTCATATGTATCGATCATAAATGCAGACCTTTTTTCTTAATATTTCCTACATAACATGATGTGACAGCTATTCACATGCCATTTATGTAATCCAGAGGTGATTCAAAGGCTGCAGGAGGATTACATAGATTATATGCAAATACTGCACAGTTTTAGATATGAGACTTGAATATCTGTAGATTTTGGTATCAGTGGGGATCTTGGAACTAGTGCCTCCTAGATACAAAAAAATGACAATTTTTTTTTTTTTTTTTTTGCTTGTTGGACCTCTGAGAGGATATGTTCGAGAGATTGTTTCATGTCTAGTTCTGAAGAGTAGGGCAGACAGCTGATCAGCTGTATGGCGTTTGAGTTATCAAGGCCCCTTGGCTGCTCCAAACCCAAAACAGGCTGAGATCACCTATAGAGCACCTAGTGAGAAAGGACCTCTGGATCTGAAGTTCATGAGAGGTTAAGAAATGAGCTAAGGAAAAGTCAATAAAGGAGAACAGGAGGGTTGGTCCAATCAGGGAGAGAACAGGAGGGAGTATTCTAGAAGCAGACCTTGAGAGTACTGAAAGTACAGTCATAGTTTATTATAGTTTAAACACGTTGGACTAGCATGGTGGCACATACCTTTAATCCCATCACTTGGAAGGCAGAGGCAGGTGGATCTCCATGAGATGGAGGCCGGCCTGATCTACATAGTGAATTCCAGGCCAGCTGTGGCTACAGGAAGACCCTGTCTCAAAAAGACAAAAAAAAAATGTTTTAAGCATTATATTAATCCAGTTTTAAGCACTATATCAAGTTGTAACATGTATTACTGTCATTTAGTTTTCTGAACCAGCCTTGAGATACAGAAACCATCATACTTACTGTAACACCGATAATGAGATGGTGGTACGGATCACAGAACAAGTTCTAGAGCTGGAATTCAGACCCCAGGAGCTCTGGATCCCAAATGAATACTCCTACTGTGCTAAATTGCTGTAGTCTACAGAACATTTCTAAGAGGAGTTTGTAGTAAAAGAAAGAGTTTATAGTGGACAGAGCTTACTTAGTGTACTGGAGATGTCTGTAGGAGCATTACAAAGTTGCACTTGACAGTGGTGGTCACTGAGGAGTGACAGAACGAGGAGAAAGATTAGCTGTTCTTTTGATAACTGTGTAAAGGGAAGAGAAGAGAGTGGAGAATGGATCATGGATAGCAGTGGCTGCCAGATAAGTGGATATTTCTGTTTTCAGTGCTGGGCACTGAACCTAGAGCCTGTGCCTGCTGGGCAAGTATGTTACCAGTGCAGAGGTTTGAGTGGACATCAGTTATTTCTGTTGGGCATAGCTAAGCATATTTCTAAGATAATGGAAAAGTAGTAGGGCAGAGTCTGGAAATAGGAGAGGAGGGATGTTTGGCAAATCTTCCTGCATGTAGAAGGCTTTGCAACTAAGAATACAGGGAGAGTTCTAGCACAGTTAGGATCCAGGAACCCCACCTTCCTGGCTAGGAGATAGCAATGAGGACCAGTGGAGACCAATGCATCAGTGGAAGTCTAGGGATTGGGCATTCTTCATGTCTGTCCCATAGGCTTTCTCCTAGGACTCATGATTCACTTTTAAAATATAATTGCATGTTTTTGCAAAAAGGCATTTGTTTTCTAAGCTCTCAGTTTTTTGTTGCATGGTGTGAGAACATACAAGGTTAAGACACATACTTGCAAACATAGACACAGACCTGGTTTGAGCTTACTCTGCTGCTTGGTTTTGATCCGAAGCCTCTGCATCCCCACATTCAAGCAGGATGATGAGAGTTCTTGCCTCTTTACCTCTCAGGGTTAAGGGCGTGATGGCTGTCAGCTTCAGAACAGTGTTAAATGTAGAGTAAATTAAATGTAGAGTAAATTAAATGCGAGCGATAGGATTCAGAGCATAGCAGGGCAGCACAGTGGTTCAGAGCACATGTGCTATACCCAGACCTGGTCCCGTTAGGAATCTCCTTTGTGGCTCATGCTTCTTTCGGGTGAAACTGGGGAATAGCAGTGTCTAACTCATGAGCAGCTGTGATGGTATAAAATATTTCTCACAAGCTGGCTGAGTAGAAGAGGACATACGAGAGTTGAGGGCAGAAGTGGGCGAGTTATGTTCTGTAGGTCAAGTACAGCCTAGGGACTAGAAACAGCATTCTTGATTTATTTCATTATTAAAACAACAGAAGGAGAATGTGTGATAGAAATTGTAGGTAGCCTGCAGAGCTGAAAATACTGTGTTTGGATTTTTATAGAAAAAGTTTGCTAATGTATGTACAGGGGTATTGCCTGCCTGGTATTTATGAAGATACAGCTACACCATTTGAGAGATTTAAAAGATAATTTTAAAAAATCAAAAACTTAACTCTTAATAGTCTAATTGTATTTCACTTTAACTCTATATAAAAATAATTGGAAGTGTTAATTACTGCCTTTTATTTTATAAAATGACTGCCTTTTAAGAAGTTTTCTACATTGCTTGTGTTGGAATATTAGCCAATAAATGATAATATTCCCTAATTTTTCAGTAGCTATACTTTTCACTGTGTTGATTCTTAGTCTTGTCTCATCACTTGGATACTTGATAATGGAAACAGACATTTGCATTTTAGATACATCGGCAGAAAACTATGATTTATGTGGTAAAGTCTCATTTATTGTGAATTGATGGGTACACTTTTCCTCCTACCTCTAAATACCTGGATTTGCTGCTTCATTTCTAGACTGTCACTCTCTGTTGCCCAAGTGCCTTGGTGTGGAATTATTCCACAAATGAAAATAAGAGCATAAACCCAGGCTCACCCCTGGATCTGCTGCAGGTGGCCCCTTCCAGCCTTCCCATGCCTGGTGGGAACACAGCTTTCAATCAGCAGGTAGACTTTGTTTCAGTGCTTCCATGGGTGGATGTTTTCATTCTCTAGGAACATCTGGGTATCTTGGTATCTGAGATATCTGAGTGTGAGTCCCAGCTCTGCCCTGACTCCCTAGGGAAGCTTTGGGTTTCTCTCGCCTCTTTCCAGCCACAGGTGTTCATGAAGTGTTCTGCCACCCAGGGATTTTGGTGGGGACTCTGACTCCTGCCTGTGACCCTGAAACAGTAGTTTGTGATGTTTAGTAGTTATTCCATGCTCTTAGTAGTGCTGCGTTATTTGTTTTAAGGATTTATATAGCTTGAGTCATGGGATTGTGACTAATTTTCACAATAAGATCCTTATTTCTTACTATGTAGCTAAGTTGCTAGTTCCTTTCCTGCATAGATGAGTTGCTCGAGGATGTTAGAATCCCCACCTTTCCTTATGGTATTGTAAAAAAAAATTCACTTGTTAAAATCTTGTTTCAGGCATTTATTATTATTATTGTTATATTACAATTATAATTTTATTATATATTATTAATGAGCCATTATTGAAAAATTTATTATTGAATCAAATCATTTGTAAATGTAAAAATGTGATGCTCATACAGGAGTTTGTGTTCCCTATGATATGGTCAAGATTGTCCTTCACCATGGGTACTCTGTTCACAGAGAAAATGTGACACGATTTAGACAGCCATTGTAGGTTTTCAAGCAAAACTTAATTAGAAGTGTTTATCTTTCAGGTTCGGGCAAGGATCTATGAGGTGGAACAGCAGATTAAACAAAGAGGCCGTGCAGTAGAAGTTCGGTGGTCTTTTGACAAGTGCCAAGAGTCTACAGCAGGTATAGTATACAACCAAAAGTGAGTGCTTCAGCGTGCTGGGCTTAAGGCCTTCTTCTCATTCTGGTAAAGTACTCCTCATCAATAAGGGAGCTTTATGCCTTTAAGTTGCTGCCTGTCTAGAATGTCAAGTTTAGCCTTTACAGTTCATTGATAATATATATTGAGAATTAAAAAACCCCTCTCCCTTGCATAATGATAATTTTTGTACTGTGCTATTTTTGGCTCCTTTAACTGCTTCCTTAATTTCTGCATCTAGGAGTGACTATTAGTCGGGTTTTGCACACACTGGAAGTCTTGGACCGTCATTGTTTTGACCGAACTGATTCCAGCAATTCAATGGAGACACTTTATCATAAAATTTTCTGGGCAAACCAAAACAAAGATAACCAAGAGGTAGTTAATTTCTTCTCTTCTTTTTCTTTTATTTTCTTCTTTCTCATTCAGTAAACTGTGGTGAAATTTTTTTCTTTAATGTATACGTGTCTTATGAAGGCATGTGAAATCTGAAGTCTTTCTTTTTGTTAGATCAGAGTGACTCACCATTATTGTAAGGAAATGCTCATTGGGTTGGCTCAACCTCATTGGTGGCAAACTTTCTCTTCATCGTTTTCCTGTCTTCATTTGAATTTTAGTGTATCTTTTGTTTAGTAATGGGTTTTTATAGGTGTTTTGGCTTTAATTTAGGGAGGAGTGTATTTTGATTTAATACAGCAGAGGGCCATGCATGGCTGTTATATAAGCACGGTCTTTGAAAAGGCTTAGTGATTACAATTTTTATTTTTTCCTGTCAACAGACTGTTTTGCTAGTGAACTGCTATATAAATATAATTTCTTTTCTCAGTATAACTTGAAAGAAAAGCAGTTTTATTTTCACAATGAAAAATGCCCATCATACATGCAGCTTTTCTAGGCACAAGGAGTGTTGAGGTTAGCTTTAACATCCTAACCGAAAACACTGGCCAGCTCATGAAGCGTCTTTGCTCTTTAGTTATTGGAACCGGGCATGTGGAAAGAAGAGATAGAACAATAAAAACAGCCCAAAACTTGTTTTAGCCTACTCTTATGGGGGCCTGGCACCTATTCCAGAATATTCTTTTGGAATAATTTGTGAATTATTGCCTTGAAAGAGCAGAGCGTTGAAAGCTTGGTGCATGCTGGGTGTTGTTCCTACCTCTTCTGAGTCTCTGCAGACATGATCCTGCAGATCATGAGCAGATGAGCCTGCGTGGTTCTCTGCTCACCAAGGCGGGGCATGCCCCATTCCTGTGCCCTGAGATGAGCACTTCCCATCCCTGTAATGGGGACATTTATAGAAGAAGGGTTTCGGGAATGCTGAGATTTCTTACATATAGAAGTGCGTTATGTAGAATGCCGAGCTTCTTATGCTGTTGTGCATTACAAACAAAATTGTTCTCTGGTCTGGGTTTCACCCAAGTTGATTAAAAAATCTTCATCTTTGTTGTTAACATGACTGTATTTTTGTAACTAGTCAATATAAGAGTTACTGCCTCATTCACTCATGAAAACTCAAATTAGCCATAAGCTCCTTCAAAAGAAAGTGGTTTTGAGGCTGTCTTCTCAAGGATGGAAATTATGGTGCGATATTTCTGAATAAAATCACAGTGTTTTAAGGGTCGTCTCAATAACCCAGTCATCTTCACATGGGTGCCTGATATATGCTATTGGGGTGTAAGAGGAAATTTGAACCTCTGTATAGGTTACATTTAAAAAAGCTTATTGTATGTTTTATAATGAACAAAATTATATAACAGTAATCTAATTCATAAATAAATATCTGTGTGTTGAGATTTTTTTTCCTAAAAAATCTATTGTCTATCTTTCCTGGCTACCTGTTTATTATTAGTTAATTTTTGTTATTATGATAAAATACCCTGACAAAAACGCAAGTTAGTGACGAATGGGTTTATTTTGGTTTACAGTGTCAGAGTGGATAAACTCAGTTATGGTAGGGTGGCGTGGCTGTAGGAGCATGAAGCTGGCTTGCCAGTCAGAAAGCAGAGTGATTGCATTGTCTTCACACACAGGAAGCAGAGAGAGAGAGGAGAGAGAGAGAGGGGGAGAGAGGGAGGGAAGGAGGGAGGGAGGGAGGGAGAGAGGGAGGGAGAGAGAGAACAGGAATGGGGTCAGGCTAGAGAACCTCAGAGCCCACCCTCAGTGACATACTCTCTTCAATAAAGACCCACCTCCTAAAGGTCAAGCAGCACCACAATGTGGAGACCAAGTGTTCAAACATATGAGCCTGTGGGGATATTTAAACCCTGCTGTTTTCTTCCCTCCCTCCCTCTCTCCGTCCCTCCCTCATCTGTCTTTCCTCCCCTTTCTCCCTCGCTTCTGTCTTTCTGTTTTTCTTTCATCTTTGTTCTTTGACCTTAGAAGTGAGTTAGTCTTTTCCACCCAGCCTGCAGGGAGGTGCTTACCACTAGAGGGCACCATAGGCTCATGACGATCCTGGATGTTCTAGTAACATCGGAAGGAAAGCCAGCGTTGCCCATTTACTAGTAATTAGATTAAATATTGATGCTGTTCTGCAAAGAGGTGGGAGTGGTTTGTGGCTAATATGCTGTTTTGGGGTATGACGAAAGCTATGTTTTAACCTATAGTTTGGACATATCACCTATTTTTAATCTGGCACGCTATCTGAATGGATAGCCCATTCTGTAGTAGCTAACATTAAATTAAGTTAAAAAATATTGCTTTGATATTTATTTGTGTGTGTGTATATGTGTATCAAGGCATATATGTATATATATATATG